AGTGAAAGTCAGATGAACAATGACATCATACATTTTTCTGGTGGATTAGTAATGGATGGGGTGATTTTGAGTGTTAGCCTTCAGTCTCTCCAGAGATTGAAATCAGTATTGGGAAATGCTCTTTCCTGACTGCCTATCAGAGAGAAGCTACTGGATTCTCAATGGCTGTGAAGGGGTTGTAATTAAGGTAAATCATCTTAGAAACCCTGGTAATCTAGAGACTCTACTAAAAGTTGAAAATTTATGTTGCTTGATATATATATATTTCTTTGGAACAAGTACCTTTGCGTGGAACATAAGAACTTGTTCTCTTTAAATGACAATTGTTGTGACTCTTACTCTTACATAGGGATAACATAAAGAAGGAAGCTGATTTACATAATCTGAAGATAATGGAAAAGAATATCTAGAAATGCATGGATATTGAACTAATGAGTTGTCAAGTGGGTTCCAGAAGATAGTATGCGTAAGGCATCATACCTGATACAGAAAGAGGTTTTATATACGATGACTGTTGGCTGTACAAGCAAATTATCACATGCATTTTCATCCTAAAGCAGGGACACTAATAATTTCCAATTTGTTTAGTCTTATTTACACCTTTAGTTCATTCTTCTCTTTCCTTTCTAATGCTTCCCCCACCCTCATACTCTCACATAATACTTTCATTTTCATCTCCCAATTATTCTTCCCAACTTGTTGACCATTTCTTAACCCTTGTAGTAGAACTGGAGGTCCTAAGAAAAATCCTTCCTGTTTCTTTCCACAACCTGAGGCACTCCACTTGTATGCATCTATTTTGTTGTTGTTGTTGTTTGTTGTTTTTACAATTCTCTATCCATTTCTGAGTAGACGTCAAAGCTGGAAACCATGACCCTCACATTCATATTATAACATTATAAGCAGTATAATGAGGAGGGAGAGGCAAAACAAGGAGGAATGAGACATAATATTGAATTTGCACATTTACTTTGTGATAGACTTTTTTAGCACTGTCATTTTTATACGATAAATGTACCAGGGAGTCACAATTAGGTATTGATTCTGAACAAAATTATTTAAATAGATTCTGATAATTCTGTATTGCCTCAGTGGAAGTTATCTTCCTTACCTCTCTCCCTTTGCCCTTTCTTTTGTCTTCCTTCTCTTTAATGCAGCTACCGTTAATCACTTTTATAGATTCCCTTGTGGTTCCTCTATAATTACCAGGTTATATCATAAACCATATCCATATTTCCTCCTTTTAAAATCACCATTTGACATTTCAATCCTAAAAAGTCTACTTGTGCATTTCCAACTTGCAACTGATAATTATTTCTACAGTCCTTACCTTGTCTATGAGGTTAAAGTCATGGTATTTACATGAAATCTTTCAATATTTGCCAAATCTGCACCTCAGATAGTATAGGCATAGAATCCTATAAAGTAAGTATTTCTAACTCTTGAACTGATTTGTTTTCCTGAAACTAGTCACAAATACTTAGGTTCCGACTGCAAGGCCACCTCAGTGGAGCTGGTTGCATATCCTCTGGGCTCCCATATTGTAATTATCTGTGTTCAAGTCTATCTCATTTAAAACGTTGTAAAGTCCTTGAGATAAGGCACTATGTTTTATTGGTATTTTTCTCCCCAGTGTATATTGCTGTGCTGAACTCTTATTTAATTCTCATTCTCACCAAATGAGAAACACTGAATTAAATAATGAATGGGAAATTTCCAGTGGTGAGAGGAGAGATAGGAATGGAATATAACATTCTTCTACATACAAATAAAAGTTTGTTAAATGCTCAGGCAGAGCTGGAACAAATAACCATAATGAATCTTAACCGTTCTAATTGTTCCAATGTGTCTAGACTAATGCCTAAACTTTAAAAAAGAAAAATAACCCTATTCAGAGAGTCCACACACTCTGTTCTGAAAACTGGTATTTGCCTATTATAACAGGATGACCTAAGTGAAAGAAAACTCTTTTGATTCCATCAACACTACAAATGAGACTTTCTTGCATGTATGATAAAGAAGCCCATTTGTTTTATCATTATTAGTTTTATTATTAAAACTAAAAATTTGTGCCTACACATAAGGATGACAATAGCAAAGGAAGCAATCACTGGGAAAAATACAAACTATACATAACATAACCATCTCTACCATACATTAAGGGTAATTACAATAAATTGTTATTGCCCTTAAGGTCAAGTCTCTGTTCTAGTTTTCCAGAAGGAAAAGCAGATTTATCAAATAGTTTTCTCTCTGCAGTGAAAGGCAATCACTAGAAATTTGGTTAGACCACTTAAATTTATTTAATAGTCAAAAATGTTGAAGTCCTTTGGAGATTTTCTAGTTAATAGAATTAACCTATAGTGTAATTAGACATGTCTGAATTAAAGTCCTTTTCCAATGATAATACCAGCAGTAGAAGTAGTCTCTGGGGATAAAGAGATTAGTATTCACATTAGTGGTAAATTTGCTATACCAGAACCACATTTATTCTTTTGGTCTTTCATCCCTGAAGGATTCTACAGTTGGGTCAATTTACAGGTTTGCTCTTTCTCATCAACTTGTTTTGCCCAGTTTTCTTCTAGGGAATAGTGGCTTCCATCATAATTTCTTCATGCGAACTTTAATGACAAAACGATCTGCCTTGTCTTTTTCCTGCTCCTCTCAGGAAATGCAGGGATGGCATAAGCCAACCCAATGCAATCTCTCCAACCAGCTTGAAAATTAGCAAGGGCATTCTTAAGAAGTCACTCAAATCAGAGTAGCCAAATTCATGCTGGAGTTTCTGAATATTACCTAAATACTTGTGCCTCCAGTTCATCTCATTTAGGCAGTCTTCCCAAATTAATTCCAAGAATATGGGTGACTCCAGGATATCCAGTGATGTTTCAATATCACCATGCTTATGGAGAACTAATAGGTAAGGTGTACTCATTTACCTGTTTAATTTTAACACAAATGTAAATATATATACATATACTTTTCATTTATTTTTTAATAAGTTTATATTAACTTTTAGGTTTCCCCAAAAGAAGTTCCTTATGTCCCCATTTCTTCAAAATTCCTTTCTGTATTGTGTTGCACTCTGCAGGATGAGCACCATATCAGTGGCTGATACTGAATCTCTTTTATTTGCCATTGTAGACAGCGAAACCCATACATTTTCTTCTTTGGAAGTCTTTCAAACCCACGTGCCTGCACCTGTTTGGCCTCAGAGAGCTCATGGCTTACATTCCCGGCTTATTTAGTACAATAATACAGACTGAGTTGGAGTTTAAAATTTGAGGTTTACGTTGTGTTACAAAATAGTTGTGTTATTATCAGCTACGCTTTGAACTCTTTTGTGTCTTCCTGATCATCCAAGACATGAGTATACATGCACTCAGTGTTTGTCAACAAACACTACACATTACCTAAAGCTCTCTAGAATGGAAAATGATAGTGCTGTCTACTCTCCCTTGAAGACTCTGTGGCCAAATGAGATGTGACATCACTCTCTCCTAGACTTCTGGGTTTCTTTGTTTATACAACTTCTCTGTTCTATTTTCTGTCATATTTACATCCTATTTAAAATTGTTATATTCTTCAGCAAGTTTTAACTCCATACAGTAACTTTGTTATACATATTTTGTATCTTTGTAATGATTAATTTATTAGGTGAGCTTTACAATTTTTATTGGGAGGATCAAGTAAAATAAATCATATGAAAATTTTTTTAAACTACAATGGGCCATACAACTGCAAGGTTGCCCAATGTGTGTGGAATACATGTTGACTACATAAAGGGAATTTGCTTAGCCTATTGAAAAGTAGCTATGTGAAAATAAAGACAATTAGTATGTATTAAAATTTAGAGTGTGCTAGAGGTTGTATATTATCTGACTTAATCCTCACAAGCTAATCAAGTATGTCCATTTCCTAATGAAGTAAATGAACTTGAAGAGATTAAGTAAATTCTCAAGTGTGTAGTATAGGTGTCTGTACTTTATTCACTTGCAGACCTTCTGAAGTTAATATTCATACTCTTTCTTCTGTTATGCATTACCTGCTAAGATTACTGTGTAAATAAATTTACATGGGGCATGTGAAATTTTTTAATACCAAGCACTATGTAAAATAAGTTACTTTTTCTGAAACCAAAGAAGTCTAAACAACATTTTGTTCTCCTATTTCAACCAGGGTACATGAGTTTGTTTACATAGAGGACTATAAGATTTTCAGTCAACCTCAAGTCAGATATTCCCTTGGAACTTAGTTTCTAATCTACTCATCTGCCTGGTGTAATTGTAAAGGTTCCTGGACCCCATCCATAGAAACATGTTTCCAGCATATAGATAAAATGATTAAAATGATGGAACAGTGTCTTTGTTACCATATCTAGTGTAGACTTGGCACACAGATGGTACTCAGTAAGAGAATATTCATTAAAGGAGAAAATGACGGAAATATGGGAGGGAATAAGATAGCGGTGTATTGTGGGAAGTGTATTATGACCAGTAGGTGGGTGACTTAGCTAACAATTCTGGATCATTTATTAACTACCTGAATGACTTCCAAAAGTCATCTAATTTTTGAGCTTCTGTTTTTTTTTTTTGTTTTTTTTTTTTTTTTTTTTTTTTCATTTTCAAAGTCTTATTATGTCTCTGATATTCCTTCCAGCACAAACTTCTAATTCTCTGGATTGCTCGAGAAGGTACCGATGTCCTTTATTTCTTCAATCACAAAACTTTAATCTGATATTAATACATGATGAACTTCACAATCTCTGATTAACAGCATAGTCTATTGGCTATCCCCCAATTCCCAAGTTCTAATACAGTCTGGGACATCCTCCTTGACCTCCCTTTTTTGGTGAGACCATTGCATATTTTTTGCTCTTTGAGTTTTTCCTCACCATCTGTCTCACCTTTCCTTAGTCTGTGATACTACTAATAAGGTCCAATTTAATGTTCTATACATGAGCAGAAATAAAGCCTAAAGGAAATGTAGATGGATGATGAGTGTATTAGTCAGGCTACTTTAGGTTATTTTACAGTAATACATGACCCCTCTCAAGTCACAGTATCTTAAAAGAGGGCAAAAATAGTGTAAGGAACTGTGAATGACCTGAGATTTTAGCCTTTTTGTAAGCTAACCAAGAAGCCTACAACAGTTTTACAGATGCTGCCAGTGGACACAAGATTTCTG